GAGCCTAGTGGAGAGATAAAAAAAAAAAAAAAGGAGAGATGCTTATTTTTATATACAAACGTATGAAATTCGTGTTTTTTGTTTCATTTTTGTGTTCTCCTGTTTTGTAAGGAATATTTATGTACAGATTCATAATTAAAGTTAACGACCCTGTTTTCCAGGGTTCTTTGAAGTTTTCTAAAAAAAAACAAAGGAATTGAATCCTGATGAAAATGACTATTTAAATTGGTTTTAAACTTACAATACTAACATGGCCTTACCTGTGTTCTTTTTTTAAAGAATGATTGCCAAGAAGCACAAAAACAAAGTCTGACCCTTGGTGAAATTGGTCAAAAGGACACTAAACTGCAGTCCATGTGTGTGGTTCTGTAAAGCATTGTTAATAATGTTACTTTGCGTACTGCAACATCCATGTTATGTGAAGTAATCTTTCACAGTAACTCGATAGCAGTGCTCAGATTTCTTGCATACACTTTTTCCCTCATTGTGTATAACATACGTTATGTCTTTTAATCATTTGACAGTAGTAGCAAACTTTCTAAAATGCACAATCCAGAACACTATGCTAACCACACAATCACAAGGGTCTGAGTAACCACAGTGAGGTCTGAGCTCCATCGACAAGAAGCAGTGGACTTTTTGCACGCGTTAAACTTTTATTTATGTACATGTAGATGCTGTGCTGAAAACAGAGCAGGTGTTAAGTTGAGCGCCGGCCTGAGGGATGCTGTGGCCCTCTGCCACTACAATCAAATGTAGTGGCAGAGGGCTCCACATCTCTATCAATATGTTGATATTACTTCACAAATAGGGTGCCTCTTGTTTGAAAATCTGTACAACAATTGTCTGTCAATAGCTGCAGTATCTGGTTCATTTCCTCTTGTAAAGTTGAGGCCTGGAATGGTTATTGGTGCAGCTGAGGGTGGGGGGACACTGGGTGGGCTCTCGTCGAGCTCTCGGTTCCTCACTTGCTTTTTATGAAGCGTTGTTCACTTTTCTCTTGTCTGTTTTGCCTTAGAGCTTTCTATTTTGGAATAAACGATGCCTAACTCTCTGCTGTTCCCCGTCTCTCTGTTCCTTAAACGTTGCCTCCACACAGGGTATGTGCGGATTAAACCCTCTGCCATTCTGCTGTCATTGTTTATCTCTGTAGTCCTGTCATTTGGAATCATCCAAACTGAGTAATCACATGGTGCTTCAGTTGTCTGTGCTCAGAGCTGGAGAGTTAGAATCCTCTTCTCTCTGAAAGACAATGTGGAAAATAACAGTTGAACACAATGGACACTGAAACAAGTCACAGTAATGATCTAGTTATGACAACTGACACCATCTGAGTCCTTTAAAACAATTCTTTACAAATTGTTATGGCCAAGCGTGGTTCATTAATTTTCAACTTTTGTAAAACTTACAAATACAGTATACTAATGTAGTGAAACGGATGCATAAGGTTATTTCCATGACAATTAAAACCATTGCATAGAATTCACTCAGTGATTTACATTTGTTTGCATGTGGTCTGAGAGATGCTGTACATGGAAACAAGCCCAGTTTAATTGATTAACATTACAAATTCTTAAAGGTGAAAGGAACTTGGTGTCAAGTGTAGCATTTCAAAGCTTTTATGATATAAAGATAGCTGCTGTACTCGGATTCCACAAGGAGGAGAACCAGCTGTTGGTCAGACATCTCACAACAAAGTCCCCAACAGCTGTGCAGAGGTCAGCTGAACAAACAGGGGCCTTCTTAAATTCCCCTCTGTCAGAACAACCTGATAGCCATATTAACCAGGCCGCCGCCACCACTCCTAACACCCCAACACTGTCCTGCAGGGTGGTGTTCAGTCAAGATGTCCATTGTTCTTGCTATTTTAAGTAGGAATAATTTCAAGCAAAAAAACATGGCTGATTCAGCGATAACATAAAGGTAAGCTCTGTTCACAACTGAAAAAAATGCACTAAGAATTCAGTGGAGTGGAGACGTGCAGCAGAGCCGTAATGCAGCAGGCTCCAGAGCTAATGCTAACCTGACATCCTCACAGGCTCCAGAGCTAATGCTAACCTGACATCCTCACAGGCTCCAGAGCTAATGCTAACCTGACATCCTCACAGGCTCCAGAGCTAATGTCCTCGTATACCAGCCGCTCTGAAACAAGCAACTAAAGTGAGTCCAGCAGTAATTTATGATATTTTTGACAACTCTGTTTATACTATAATGACATGTTGTTAAACTATGGTGTGTGTCCTGCAGAAATATGGTGACCATATGGTGAATCTTCTTCAGTAGGCCTACTAGCTTTCCAAAGGCCAAACATACTAAAACAGGACACAGCTTGCCATGTGCTGACCTCCATCTGTTGGCGGATCCAGCTGAGCGACTGTGTGATGCTGGTGTAAACGCCCGGTTTGTTCCTCATAGCGCATCCAATCCCCCAGCTGGTTGCACCAACCAGCTTCCATACAGAGTCCTGACAGGCCAGAGGACCTCCACTGTCGCCCTGAACACACACACACTTTTTGGGTTCTTTTTTTGAAATTACAGATTTTATTTCTATGGAGATTTTAGACTTTTAGTATTATTGGTAAAATAAACCTATAATGACATTTGATTTCACAGCTCCTGTAGTTTCTGTGTTATTCTGTAGAAATGAACTCTGAAATCACAATGGGGTTTAATGCTTCAAAGAACCCCGGGCCCCTTCTCACTTCGGTTAAATGGATTCCTTGCGTCCCTCACTTGCGTAGTTTCCCTGCGTTTAGTCCCTCCCACCAAGGAAGCATGGAGAGACGCAAGGAAACCACGAGAAGCAGGGAAATTAGTTTTAAGAGCAATGGGACGTCGTATGGTCGTTTCCTCTGGAGCGTCACGTGAAGCGACGTCCGTTTGTGATGACGCTGATCGTCTGACAGCAGCCAGCTCTGTCCCCGTTATTTCCACAAACACCCCCGCCTCTGTTAGTACACATTTACTGACACAAAAATGTGTATCATCTGTTGTAGACCCAAATACATTTAATAAAATAAGAACTAATTCTCAAAAAAGATAAACGCCATTCTTAAAATGTATAAACGAAAAAAGCGATCATGAAAATGTTTCCAATAAATGAATAAAATGATTTTTGACCACTTTGTTGTTCAGATATATCACATATTTGAAACTAAATTATACATTAATTGAAACAAAACACGGTATAAACTGAGGAGTGACTCCCTTGAGGTTCATGTATTTTCTTCACTCTGCTGGGAAACTGCTCTCATGTCAAGAAGCATCAGATCAGTGCATGCGCTGCATCGTCCAATCAGTGAGCGATACACAGTAAGGGGGCGGGGCGAGTGTCTGAGGATTTCATCGAAGGATGGTCTGGTGGTTCCTCGGTTATAGCTCCTCCATTATCGCTCCTCGCTCCTCCGGCAAAAATAAGGCCATTGGGACGCTACTCAAGATGGCGCAGACAAATCAACTTCCGGTGAGACCGAGACCGAGGAGCGAGGAAATGAAAAATAAGAGAAGTGAGAAGGGCCCCATGTGTACCTGGCAGGAGTCAGTTCCTCCCTCCAGGTATCCTGCACACAGCATCCAGGAGGAGATGAAGCCCTGGTAAACCTCCGGCTGGTTGCAGGTCTTCGTGGAGAGCAGCGGCACCATGGCAGAACGCAGAACCACACTGGTCTCTCCTGGAAGAAAAAAACTATTTCAAGCATGTATGTATCGGAGAGTGCAGGAACACTAGCGTTATTACATTACACCTGGCGGAATGTTACAACATTCAAAAAGCTGCAGATGAAATAATATAATCAAAGTCCTGTTCAGACTCACCTTCATCCTCAGTGGCTCCCCATCCAGAGATCCAGCACATGGTGCCCTCCTCAAACTCCTCCCCATGGTTTGGAAGGCAGATGGGCTCCACAAAGCCTACAGAGCAATCTATAATGAACTACTTATCCCAGACACCTTTCACCAACAGGACCAACCTCTATCAATCAATCATCCAGCTAATGTGTAATTACACCCACATCCTGTTTTCGTGTGGTAGCTGTTTGGACAGAAATGACACAACATCAGTTTCGGAGATACAACTCCGTCAGGGGAAGAAGTGAAAAAGGTGAGGACAAATAGATGAGAGCCGACACTCAGACCTCAGACAACTGAAAGGCCTACAATTATTGACACTGTCAGAAGGCTAGAAACCGGAGAGAGGTGGGAGATAGCAGTCACCTCACAAGACTGAGAGACTGAAGGGAGGTAAAGGTGCGTTTCATTTCAACTTGGAAGTACAAAATCTGAGCTTAGTGGTTTTTGTTAGCCATGTAGCCACTTTCGACTCCAACAAAACCATCAAGAGGACACAGATGACACAGCTGTGGTGGTCCTGATCACAGATTGCTAGGCCAAGCTGAAAGAAGTAGAACAGCAACATAGTCCAAAACGTCCACAAGACTAAGGAGCTGATCGTGGCCTTGGGGAAGAAAGAAGAAAGCCCCCCTTCAAATCCACTGACTCGCTGGGGACTGGTTTACCTCAGACGCTTGAGGAAATTCCAGCTATCCTCTCAAATGCTTAAGAATGTCCACTCCTGACAGGGAACAGTGGTGGTGTAACATCAGGAAACACGGTAAGGTGCTCTAACCTGCCTAAGGCATATTAAACAGCAGACGCTGCAACAATAAGCCTTGGAAAATCATTAAGGATCCCAGCCACTTCAATCATGGACATTTCTCCCTGCGAAGATCTGAAAGATTCAGATTACGCCAGGCCAGCTCTGAGAGGCTCAGCACGATTGAGATCTGGAGCTATACATGATGTAATGAACACATGAACATAGAGCAGGATTAGGATCTAGAGCTATACATGATGTAATGAACACATGAACATAGAGCAGGATTAGGATCTGGAGCTATAGGCCTACATGATATAATGAACACATGAGCAGGATTGAGAAAGAGAATGAGGTCATGAAAAAGCCGTTAAAATCAGTAGCGTGGCAGGGGGAAAAAATTAGGGGAAGCCAATAATACGTTCTTTCTTTTGGGGTGGGGGGGGTGTGGTGGTCAATGTAATAACGTAACCAGATGAGTGATTACAGCGCCCGGTATCATTTTACACACATTTGTATCATACAGATGCAGGACTTACACACGCCTGTTATCTATGGCGTTATATTTGTGCCTCTATCCTGAGCACGCAATGAAACATGTTGAGCCTAGAAAATGCGATTGAGCATTTGAACATTTTTGAGCACAGAGAAATATATTTTCTCTCATAAAACTCCTGCTCCGTGCGCAAGCAGACCGCTGCACGCGCTCTCTCTCCCTCGCTCGCTCGCCCTCTCCACCCTGTGCGCGCTCAGCTTTGCCTGCCTGCTCGCTCAAGTTGTCACAGCGTTACAAATGTGCCACGAAACCAACCAATCGGAGAACTCGAGAAGGCCAATTCTGATTGGCTGGTCCAGCATGTAGAGAGAAGAGTTGCGACAGCGGAAGTCCAAAATGCTTGATTGTCACGTGGTTCAGAGAGACTCAGAAAGTTCCTGGAAGTTTGTGGCGGGCCATTTGAATCAAGATTTGAATGCATTGAAAAGAGGATAGAAATGCAATTTTTGGTAGTTATTGGTCAATAAAGGTTTTGATTTGCAATATGTATACAACATCTCGATATGTGTATGTAGTTACATCAATGTGTTTTTTTTTTTTTTTTTAAAGTAAAATGTGCTCATATTTGAGGATTAAGACAAAATAATAAGTACTTTATTGATACTGTTAGCAATTCTTGAACCCAGAGAGCAGGAGAGACTGAAAAGAGTCAAGGGAAGCTTATAAAAGTTAACAGCATTTAATTACACA